CAAGAAAGAAAACACAAGAACTCAAAACTCTAATGGGGTTTTCGAGAAAACTTGCTTGTGAAAGACCCAGGTCCGGTCCTAAGATTTTTGATGCCCTGTGCGAAAATAATAAAAAATGCCCCTAAGCTTATTTTTTTTAAGCCAATGAAACAACGAAATATGCGATTTTTTAAAGAGTTTAAAACCTATTCAAGCTAAGTATCTCATTTTTATGTTGATTTTTATTATTTATAATAAAAGAATACAATGGGGGGCCATAAAAACCAAAACCCCGAATACAAAATATAAAAAACGGTAAAAGGATAAATAATGGATTAAGATCGTGTTTCCTTCTTTTTCCAGTTTTCCCTTTTCCAAATTGAAATTAACAAAATACAAACTTTATTTCAATATATAGGACCTAAAAGATAAGGAACACTATAATTAGTTTTTAACTAAAATAGTAAATTACATCCAAATCACTGTCATGGTAAGCAAAAAGTAAAATTTAAAAGTTACTAGTCTAATGACGAAAGACTAAGGGCCTATCTGTTAGTAGCTTAATAAGTTTAATGGAACTAACAGCTTATTCGGTCAATTATGCATGACTGTTTGGTAGTGGCTTAATGATATAGAAAGTGACTTATCCAGTAAACTTGTAGGAGGGAGCTTTATATAGAAAACCAAGTTTTTTTTCCAAACATATCCCTTCCAACTAAAAAAAACGTTTCTTACATATGCAAAAAAACTAGGGGTGTTCGCGGTCCGGTTTGGGCGGTTTAAGGCCTCAGACCACAAACCAAACCGTAATGGCGGTTTGGGAAATTTTCAGACCGAGCGGTTTGAAATCAAGTGCCCAGACCGGTCAAACCAGACCACGAAAAGGCGGTCTGGTCTGACCGGTTTTAGGCGGTTTGGGCCTTTAATGGGCTTTAAACATTAAAACCAGGAAACTTACTCAATTAAAATATTAAAAAATAAGTGAGCTAAAACCAGAAAATAAATATTAAAACTTACTCAATAATCATCTCCCATGGGTTCCTTACTTTGTTAAAAACAAAAATTGAAGCAAAACCTGTTGATAGGTTCCTTTAGGCAACTGAGATCAATCAATGGATGTCAGCAGAAGGATACCTCAAATCCGAGGAAGCCAAGGCAGCTGAAGCTGCCTTAAGAGCTATGGTGGAGATGGAGAAACAGAAGAGCAAATCTGCCATAGAGGCAGCATAAATGGCCAAACGTCTTGCAGAACTGGAGACCCAAAAGAGAAGAAAGGCCAAACTCATAGCCGAACACGAGGAACCAGAAAGGAAGAAACTTATGATTAGGAAATAGAGGTAGAATAATGGTGGATTGAGAGGGTTAAGACATAAGGTAAGGATTAGGAATATGGAATTAAGCGATTAGGATTTAGGAAATATTTTCCAACTTGGATAAGGCCTAAGGTTATGTTTGGGGCTTTGGGCCAATAGCCCATAAGGTATAAATTAAAGTTGTGGGCTTAATAATACTAATATATATATATATATATATATATATATATATAATGTGGCGGTCGGTTTGGTCCAAACCGCCCAAAAAAAATTCTAAACCGCAGACCGACCGGACCGCCCGGTTTCGGCTATTTTTCAAACCAGACCGGACCGCCAGACCACCCAAACCGCCAAAAACGGTCCGGTTTGACTTGGTTCGGTCGGTTTGAGCGGTCCAACGGTTTTTTTGAACACCCCGAAAAAAAACTCTCCCAAACAAAAACTTTTTCAACTTATACAAACAAGTTAATTCATATAAACAACGTTATTAATACAGACAACTTTACACAAACAAAAACTTTTCCAACTTTCCAACTTTTTCCAACGATGTGCATTCAATATTTATCACTACTAGGCCTTGAACCTGTTTTTATAGTTAAAGCTCAGTTATTTAATTCCCAAATTATTAAACCCAATATTAGTAATAAATGGCAACTTGATGCCCCTTTAGGCTTTGATGTACTGTGCGGCCGCACGGGCTGCACGTGGCCAGGATCGGCCCTGTGAAGACCGTAGATACCGAAAGCTCCATTTTCTTGACCTGTGCAACAGAGTGTTAAGGTTCTTAACCCAATTGAAGGTTGGATGGTTATAACCATTGCTTCACCTAAACGTGGCACCCAATAATATTATGAAGACATTATTCAAAAAACCGAAGGGTGGGAAGTAAAAGAAATTCGTATCAGTAGCAGATCGAGAGTTGGATGGATCGCGAAGAAGGTTGAGCAAACCAAGAGTTGGAGACAGCAACGAATTCGGCTTCTTGGGAAATCAAATTAATTGAGAGTAATTTCATCCCATTTCATTAAAGCAAGACGTGGAGAGGGTTTAAGCGGAGTGGCAAGTCGGAAGGAGGAATTTTGGGGTAACGATTGGGGTAAGCATGGTGGTTTCAACAATTACTCTTTCATAGGTCTACAAATGCAGTGCGAGGTTAATTAGAGTGTTAGGGGTTGTTTACTAACCTCTTATCACCTCTTACCGGTGGGAGGCTCTTACTCGATTAAGAAGTAAGGTTGTTTACCCAAAAAAAGTATACCTCTAATCGTGCTATGACCATAAACAGAGAAGTAGTTATATCTCTCCTCCCGGGTAAGTGATGACATTTCCCAATTTACCCTTCTCCAAAAAGATTAAATAATGTTAAATGCGTAGGAATAATATTTACAATATTTGATAATCAATAAACTGTAATGAGTATTATTTTAAATATAAGGGTATAATAGTCATTTTAACTGAGTCAACGCACTTAATACAAAATATTTGGTAAGCATATATTTTCAATCAACACTTACTTGAGTCAAATCTCTTATTTTAGTGAGACATCTTATTTCAATAGGCACTTGCCCAATATTTTAGTAAACAAACCTTTAGACCATCCAATCTAATACAATTTCTAATAGGAGTGTATAAGAAACCGTCAAACCACTCAACCCGTCCAACCCAACCTGCTAACAACTCAATTAAACCAAACCCGCTAAATCATCAAACCGTTAACCCACCAATTAAGAGGGTTGAAATTGAGTTAGCCTAGCTTAACCCAACCCGTCAACCCACCACTAATTATATAATTTAGACAAAGTTTTATTTATATATAAATTATACTAGTTTATATTATATTAACATTTGAACTAAACACACACACATACTCTCTCTCTCTCTCTCTCTATATATATATATATATATATATATTAACGTATAAAATTATACATAATATTTGTATTTTTTTAGCTACATATAAAGTATAGGTTAATAGAGATTCACAACCAAAAAAATGAATACAAAGAATCTAATAAGAAAAAGTTATTGAAATCATTTTTACAGCAATAACAAATGAATGCGTCGGAGAACATGGATGATGTTGATAGGTACTTGTTTGACGAATCTATCAATCCAAAGACTCTCTCATTTGAAGTTTTACTTTGGTGAAAAAAATGCTAATAGTTATAGCATTTCACTACTACAACATTAGGTTTATAAGATGTCTAAAATGTCTAAGCGTTCTAATATGATATTTTATAGAACTTCAGTTTATAAGATGAAAAAAAAACGTCATATATAAAAGTGTTACAATATGTTTATAAGACGCATTTAGGTGCTTTTAAAATAAAGTGGCATATTAGTTACTTTATACGACATTATATGATAAATATCATATGAACACAAATGCTATGTAAATAAATGAGTTTATAGGACACTTCTCATAATTGTTCTATAAAATAAACTAATACAAAACTTCATTTAAAAAGCGTTTCAAAAAACTTGTTGAAAAATACTATAAACTTATTATAACACTCTTAGATAGAACAATTTATAGTTTGATTCTATTAAGTATTTCATGTCAATCTTATGTAATCACTAACCCGCCACCCTTCAACCCACAAGGGTTGAGTTAGGTTGGGTTATATACTTTTAAATGGGTTGTGTTCCGTTGAGATTTTTTCAAACCGCCATAATTGAATTGAATTGTATAAATGTCGTAAACCGCCCAACCTAACCCGCGTGTACCCCTAAATTTTTAACACAATTTCTCAATTGTTAAACTTATAATTTAATAAAGACAAAAATTATATCAATATTAATTAACGATCAAACTATTTATATTTTTTATAACCAATATCTCATTTAATAAAATACTTTTTTTATTAACATATTTCACAAAACATCAAAAAAATGATATGATGTAAAATAATTTCTTATTAAAAAATTATATCTTATAATTTTTTATATTATTCACCATCACATCAGCAAAAAGTACTATGTAATAATATAATTTTCAAAAATCAAATTTCTATAGAAAGAATCATACTTACACCTGTCATAATGTTTAACATTTTTTTTAACTCTCCCAAAAAGTAATTACCATTAGAAATAAATATTATTTTACTACATTCCATCATTAAGAAACTTTTAATTTAAAATTTAAAAGAAAAATAGTATTTTATTAAAAATATGAAATATTTTAATAATATAATTAATGTTGTAATATCTTAAGGAAAGAAATTATTGGACTTAAATGTAATTTTTGTAAAGATTTTAAATAATAATTTACAATTACAGAATTTGTTAAAGATGCTCTTAAATAACTCAAGATTGCCATTCTGCTTTGAAAATGGAAAATTTTCAACTCCCCAGAAAAGAATTGCCTAACAACAGGATTCCCACGATAACAAGATAATGTCTTTGGCAACAAATACCAAATTTAATTAAGAAATTGTCATTGAAAAAACGATAAAGAATAACAGTAAATAGAAAATACAGAATCTGTAATTCTCAGTAAACATTAGCTTCTTAAATAAAGATGAGTTTACAGTAAAAATAAATATTTATTATAATAAATCATAATATTTTGATAATTTTCTTTCAATCATTTCATCTATGATGAGGGCATATAATCCTTCAACACAAATAATTGTTCAACAATGGATCACAAATGTTGGATACCATATTTATTCAAAAGAAAAACAGTTACAATAGACTACATAATAGTTATACATCGGAATGTGCCTTCAATAATGGATCATTTGATTGTAAATATCTGCAAGATTAAAAACATATCAAGAAAAAGTTACATTTTACCCAAAAAACAGAAAATAAGAGTAACTATAATACGCTTTGATATTAGTATTGCTAAATAATCAAACAAAAGATGATCAATGCTACGAATTTATACGGTTCACCTGATACAAATGCTACGTTAAGGAAACCATAAATAACTTGGACCTTTTTGTTACTCCAATGATGATACAACAAGATATTTCGATCACGATTTAAGACATCTCAACACTTGGAGAATATCTGATACGTTAATTGTAATAGCCCACAACAACAAGCAATCCCAACCCAATAACATCTAATTCACTTTAAAATGATGGTAGGAGTTATTAATAATCTATAACTTTAAATTTATAAGAATATTACAAATCTATTTATATGGGACAGATCGTCACATGATTAATGGCCATCCCTTTGTACCATACTTATATATGCAAGGCTGTCAAAATTAATAAGTTGATTGCAGAACTTGCCTGTCACTTTTGCTGAATAGTATGAGGGAAATAGGATGCTGAGGTGAGAGGTAGAACAGTTGCCGAACTATATATACACATGTAATAATGCTGTAATGATTCGAAAATAGACATTAGCAAATCAACATATGTATCGAATTATATGTAGCTGAATTCAGAATGATGATGCAAATCAAACACATAGGATCGTTATATGATCATGGAGTGCACATACTTTAGTCCTATATGTTTAAACTCTTAACCTTCTGATAGGTTAAACTCTACCAGTAATGTGGATACTGGTAGGCCAATAACGTTTTAGTTTGTTTCATTATTTATAGTTACCTCACAATACACATTCTATGGAAATATACATAAAACTTATGATTTTTGCGTTCTATGGTGATGTCTATACACTACAACAAATTTAAGTTTACAGGATGACACCAATTTTAAAACGTACTAAGACTCTTTTATAGGACTCAATTTATTTGGACCAAAAAATGAAGGGTCATATCTAAAGGCCTTGCAATAAGTTTATATTATGCTTTTAGACGTCTTAACAAATTTTATAAGACACTTTTAGTACAAAGCGTCTCATTAGCTATTTATAGGACACTATTTGAAAAAATACCTTATAAAAACAAGTGTTGTATAAAAAGATGGGATTATAGGACATTTTTTTGAAAAATGTCTTATAAAATAGCTAATGAGACGCTTTTGTATCAAAAGTATCATATAAAACTTGTTAAGACGCCTAAAAGCGTCCTATAAACTTATTAAAATGCTTTTATATATGACTTTATTTTTTGGTCCTATAAATTGAGTAATGTATAAGAGTCTAATAGGACACTTTGAAATTGGTGGCATCCTATAAACTTAATTTTGTTGTAGTGATAATTTGCTATGGCAGGTAAAAATAATGATTCATGTGAAAAAATAAAATAATTTAAGATAAGGGTATTTTCAAATAGAAAGGCTAAATATCATTACAAGCTAAAAAAAGAAAGTAAATTCATAGGTGAATCATTAAAAAATCATTCAAATATGCATATGTGAACCCATATGAATAATCTGGAACGTTGATTCACATATAAATCTTCAAACCAAAAAAATTCCTCATTTTTTCAATGATCATGTATGACCCTTTCTCTAATCTTGTATTTTTACTTATCACCATATTTAACCTTTTTATTTGACGCTCCCACTTTAAACACACACACACACACACACACACACACACATATATATATATATACACACACACACACGAAGGATTGTGTGAGAAGGAGAATTAATGTGAGAAATGTAAGAAGAGATCTAAATGCTTGATCATCTTTAATATCAAATCCACCTATGAATCGCACTTGATATGGAGATTGATCCGGTGCATCTCATCTCGGTGTATCTCATTTTAATGTGCATCTAAGGGTGGATATCCTTTCTAGGGGAAGGATCGTGTGAGAAAGAGAGTTAAGATGAGAAGCGTAAGAAGCGTAAGAAGCGATCTCCACCCTTGATCGCTTTTAATCTCATGTCCACCCATGATTGTGTTTTAGAAGAGAATTGATCCGATGCATCTCAGTGCATCTCATTAGTGTTGATCTTCAATTAGAATTGATCTAAGGATGAAAATCTCTTCTTATCCTTCTCACCATAACTTTCATTCTCACTGGGACCCAACCCGGTATATCTAATAGTAAATTTTGAAATCACAATGCAAATGGGTAATTAAGTAGATTTACATATCCACTGTCCTCCTCTGCCACTAATAAAACTAAAAAACCCAAAACAAAAATAACCGTTTTCACACCGCATTGTGATATCGAAATCATGGTCGAATAACAGCAAACCCACGATTTGCTATTTTGTAGCGACTGACCAACGCTAACCGTGACAATTAAAGAGGTTGCTTAGTTATGATAAAGGCTTACCTCCCAAAACATAGAAGTAAGACTATCCAAAAGAAAGCACTAATAAAACTCGGCTCCTTATATGCCACCCACACCTGAAATGAAACAGTTGCATGTTCTTGTTATGGAGAGAAACAAATAATTTATTAATAAGAGTTGCAAAAAATAACATGTTGTATGTAATTTACCACATTTATCAATATCACTTATGTTTCTTATGGGTAACCATGGGTATTTGGTCTAGTTTGTCCTCCTCGTTATGGTATCCATGTATAAAGTCATTATGGATATCCGTGTTGCTCCCAATTCTTTTGGTGCGCTACAATCGCTAAGAAACCATGAACCGTCACCATCTTTGCTACGGGAGCAAATGTTCCATTGTAATCAAGTCCTTTCATCTACTGGTGTCCGAATACAACCACACTAGCCTTTAAACGCTCAATGCTGCCATCAAAGCTGTACTTAATGGTGTACACCCATTTACTCCCCAAAGCATGTTTCCTAAGAGAAAGTGGCCCCATTGTCCAATTATCAATGAGTTTAATGAGATTCATAATTTATCATGAATGTTTGATAGTGACTTAATGATATAAAAAGTAGATTATTCAGTAAGATTTTAGGTTGAACTTTATGCAAAAAGCAAAATTATTCGTAACTTGTCTCTCCCAATTAAAAAAATATATGCTCCTTTCATTTATAAAAACCCTCATAAACAAAATCTTTTTAATTTATACAGATAAATTAATCCATAAAAACATCTTTATTCCGTATAAAACTTAATAAAGAAAAGCCAAACAACTCTTAACTCTACCACTTCCTTTGAAGGATGTCCTAACCTTTGATTATGATATATAAGTGCACTCTTCCAAAATTTGAGATTCTACTTACAATGTCACACTGGCATTATAGTCCCAACCACATGATGGATGTAGATATCAGTCCCTTTGATATAACCGTAGCATTTCGTTAAAAAAAACGTACCGATAAAACCACATGATGGATGTAGATATCAATCACCGTTGCTACCATGCATCTGTAACCATTTATCAATATCAATTTTACACTGCATTTGATATGAAAGAACTAAAAATAGAAAGTTACCGGAAACGGAAAAAAGAACGAACTAGTTAGAATAAAGAAGATGGTGGTTCTCGTTTGGTTTATTTCATCGCGTCCGACATGGGTGCAAGAGCTAACTAAAATGGGTATATATACGGAAACGTTTCTTTTATATTAATCTAATATCATGATCAGGGACGGATTAGGGTCACGAAAAATGTCATCTTATCATTTTGTGGTGTATATATTTTGAAACTACAGTAATAACACAAGTCTTCCTTAGTAAAGTTGGTTTACATGCATTTTCTTCTGTCCTTGTCCATCGATCAGTGAAAACATATCTTCAGGAAGAAAATAAAAACATAAATTCAATAAACTTATATTCAACAAAATAATTAACATGTCGTAACATGATTAGTGAAACAAGAATGAAACATGGAATTTCGAAAAAGCAGATTTTTATCCTAAAACAATAGAGGTATCAGTAACACAATAATGAAAAAACTGTAATTTTTACCGTGCGACAGGATTGGAATGGTATGGAGACGATGCATTAACAATAAACGAGTAAATCAAAACTCCCACCATCAAGCAGCCTAGTGCAGAAACGATAACTCTTGCAGTTACAACAGAAATTCGTACATGATCCCTAATTAACCCAGATCTTTAATTAGTATAAAAATTAGATCATGTAATTAAACATCTTAATTAGAAATAACACTTTACGAAATGAATATCATAAATGGTGATATAATAAAGCAGTTAAAGTGTTAAGTGGGATATATTCGATGGATTGAGTATTAATTAAGGGGCCGTTTACCAAATGCTTGCTCGAGTAAGCGCTTATCAAGTCACATTTCTTTACCGGATGAATATGGCAAGGACCAAGAATCTTACCTGGTAAGAGTGAAGACACGAACCGAGAGTCTTATCCACTAAGTGATGGCGAAAACTCTTACCGGGTAAATTGTTACATATGATATCGTTCTGTTTGACTAAAATCTTATTCGATAAGTAAGAGATAAAGTTGAATTTTACCGTTAATTAAGCACTTACCGGATAAGTGTTTAAGTAAACAGACCCTAATACATATATTAATTTGAAGATTTTATAAATTCTTACCTTTTATGATGTTTCACCAACACAAAATATAATGGATTTGTCGATGATTCTTCAGGTGACAACTTGAAGAATTGCACAAAGATGTATCCACATGTAGTTATGCTGTAAAAAGGTATTGAAAGCAATAAATTAATTTCACTGTACATGACACATTTACACCACAAAACGTTAATTTTTCATTAAATAATATGAATCAACATAAACTGTTGTTTGATAGACAATCTGAATAATAGAAATGACTGATCTACCGTTCAATCTATATCAAATATATTAAGCATGGATAAAGTAATTATTTTATAAAGATGTTGATTGGTTGATTTTGAATAATAAAAATATATATTTAAGCATTTTTTGAATAAAAAGTTGTGTTATAATATTATATTAGTAATATATATATATATATATATATATATATAGAGGGAGGATCATACGGAAAATTAAACATTTTGTTAGAAGGCGAGAAGTCTCAATATCATATATATGATTAGACTCATTAGGCGTGTTTAATCATATATGATTTAGCGTCTATGTGATGTCAATATATGCGACACGTGTTTAATCATATATGATTAAACATCGACATAAGAAGTCTTCGATAATACTTACAACATTTAAGGGATAAAAACAAATCTAAGCTAATAGAAAATTGTTAATACATACCAGTGTTCAAAAAGGCGACATGGCGGATGCCAGACGTGTTTTTGCTGTTATGATAAGGCTTATATAGTTTCTGTAAAGCGTTTGCTCAGTCCATGGCCACTTGAGGCGGCCATGGTGACTTTTTTCAAAAGAAATTATTTTTTTAATTTATGTAACTTTGTGTTTTTACATTTTTAACTTTTAATCTTACACTTTTATAGATTTATCTAATCACATCACTAACAGTTCACGAATTCATAAACGACATGGATTCACGATTAAAAAAAAGATGTAACGTTGCCTTCTAATTAAGTTCCATTTTGAATATTTAATCAAAAACTATTTTTATAGTAATAATCTAAATGATTTTTTCTTCTTCTAATATGAATGTATTAATATCATTTGATTCTTATTACAGATTTAAAACTTTAAGAACTTTACCGAATCGTAATTTTATATGTTTGAATCGATAAACAAAAAGAAAATTACCTTCCAACAAGCCAAGTTGAAGCGATTATAGCAGCTGCCACGGTCCAGTTTGACTCCTTGTAAACAAACCATGCCTACACATTTCACATATGAGCCTAGTTGATTCAAAATTAAAAAAAATGCTAATGAAATATAGCAAATTATATTATTTCGTTCTTCCAAATACCTTTTATAGCTGTTTTTCTACTCAATTGACCGAAATAATCAATAAGTCGTATATAGCAGTTTAGCAACTTGAGAAATATATTTTTTATGAATATAATATTTATAAAGTAAACTTCTTAGCAAAACGTTAAAGTGTTACTTAAGAAATCTTGACGTCACAAGTAGCTTTTCAGCAAGTCGGATAAGTAGCATATTAACAAACTTAGCAAGACGCAAGTGACACTTTAACAAGTTACATAAGTATTATTTTTTGTGTCAGTATTTTACAAGTAACATTTTAACAACTTATGAAACTGTTACTCTATGAATATTTTATATTCATAAAAAATGGATTTCAAGAACTGTTAAATGTTAATTACGAAATCTTAATTATTTCAATCAATTACTTAAAAAATGATCTTAAAATAAATAAGGGGATAAAAAATTGGATATTTTAGACAATTTCCTACCATGTTAAAACAAGCAATACAAGGAAACACAATTGATATTATAAGGCTAAGGGCCGCTTACCAAACGTTTACCCGGTCATTTTATTTTACCGGATGAATATAGCAAGGGCTAATAATCTTATCCGGTAAGAGAAGTCTTACCCGGTAAGTGAGGACGATGACTCTTACCATGGTTAGCGCTTACCGGGATAAATTGTTGCATACGATGATTTTTAGTGAATAAAATCTTACCCGGTAAGTAAGCGATAGTGTTAAATTTTACCGGTAAGTGCTTATCGAATAAGTGTTTAGGTAAACGGCCCCTAACAAAAGTTAATTTAGTATGAAATCACCCATATGAGAACAATATTTATGTTAAACTCTGCCATTGCCGCTGCCATCCACCTGCAAGAAATTTCACAAAAAACTTGCTGAAGAGGAAACAGTTTCTTAATAATTAATTACTTAGGGGCCGATTACTAAACGCCTACCTGGTAAATGCTTACTGGGTAATTTTCCTTACTGAATAAACATGACAATGATAAAAAATCTTACCCAATAAGAGCAATGATAAAGATGAATAGTCTTACTCGGTAAGTGAGGGTGACGACTCTTACCCGGGTAAGCGCTTACCGGGTAATTTTTGCATACGATATCATTTTGATGTACTACAATCTTAAATTACAGTGTTGACTCCCAAGGGTAAGCGCTTACTAGGTAAGCATTTAGGTAAACGGCCCCTTAGAGCTGCAAACGCTTCTTTGTACCCATGGATGACACAAGAACTAAATGGTTTTATTTGCTAAAAACTGATTACCGACAGCTTTAACGAGTCTCATACGAAATCCTTCTTCAAGGACGTTAATGTGAAAGAACAATTTTTTGTTCACTCAACAGCTAAGGTTAGCGAGGGGTTTCGATCGAACCCAAAACCCGTCTTAATTTGATTTGGGTAAAGTCATCTCACTCTTTTACCAATTGATATATACGCCAGAGGCACTAAATGGTTCTATTAATCTTTTTATACTGACACTTTTAGAAAGTATCGTATCGATACTTCATAAAAATCAAGTTTTATTGTAGTGTTTTGAACTATTTTTTTAGAAAAATCAAAATTGAGTATTCAATTTGTATGGTACATAATTAAAAACGTGCATTTAAAGCATATTTATAGTATTCACATTAATTTCATACATCATTTTTTTTCTTAAACTATATATATATATATATATATATAGGGTTGGATTCACGTGAGACCAGCCTGTTTTCATAAGACCCGTGGGACCACATTTTTACACTTGAAACGTCACAGCAAAAGCACTGTGAAACCTTCACAGCATTTTGCTATGAAGTTTCAAGTGTAAAAATGTGGTCTCACGGGTCTCACAAAAACAAGCTGGTCTCACTTGAACCCAACCCTATATTTACATTTGAAACTTCACAGCAAAAACACTGTGAAGGTTAAAAAAAGTCACCTTCACAGCATTTTGTTATGAAGTTTCAAGTGTAAAAAGCTGGCATATATTGTGCCATATAAATAAACTGCAGTGTTTTTTTTTCCCGTGATTTCGTTTCAATAAAAAAAAATCTATAACTTAAACTTCTGATCTACCTTGATTGTATGTCGAAACAAGAAAGGTAGCCATTATTGGCGAATACATAAGCAAACGCAGCTCCCATCACGATACACAATACAAACATCAACGTTTGTACTACGATTCTCGCGGATGTCGTTGACGCCATTATGCTCTGGCTTCTCTCTGTGTGTGTTTTTTTTTTTGNGGGGGGGGGGGGGGGGGGGTTTGAGTAATGTGTTAGTGAGTAGACGATGAATATATAATTGCAATGGGGGAAAGCATCATGATTGTGACTAAGTTCCTCATAGTTAAATTAATATATGCAGTCGGTCAATCATGGTTTGCAATACTATATTAGGGCTTAACACCCAAAACTTCGTTATGTGGCCCCATTGCCTCTCATGTGAGTACATATTTGTCTTTCTACATCCTCTATATAGGGTAAATTACATATTGCATCCCTATGGTTTGTTGCGAATTGCAATGGTGGTTACTGGACCATAAATTCATGGATAGGGTCATTGTGGTTTCACTTTTGTTACGGTGGAGGTCCCTAAAACTAACTTATATTAAGAAGCTCCGTTAGAACACGGTCATTTTGGTAGATGATATAATTTTTCATTTTTTATTAATTTTTTTAAAGTGATTTATTTTTTATATCTATTTCTTTTATTGTACAACTTTTTAATGCATTTTATACAAAGGTATACGTCCTTTAATAATAATTACAAAAACAAATAAAAATCTCTTCCCTACTTCGTCATCTTCTCCGGCCACGATCCTAACTCCAGCGACCATAAAACACGGTAAATTTAGGTGTATAACGCATATCAACTTCAAGAATATACAATTTTATTCAAAAAATCGTTACATAAAACTCGTCTAAATCAAGATCTTAATACAAATCAAATAATTTGAATAGGAAAAAAAATATAGAAATCATGAAGATGTCCAAGATTGATCCTTGAACAAACCCAAACCAAAACTGATCCTTAAATATGCCTAGATCTATCCCTGAAGAAACCGAAACCCTGATGTAGAAACCCAAAGTGATTCTCTTTTAAAACCACTGGTTCAATTCTTGTTCAATGAGAATTCAAATCTTCAAACTGCAAAAATGCTTGCACAAATTTGAATCAAGAATTAGTGCCAAACCTAGAATCAACGATCTAGAAATCTTGTGCAAATCTGATGAGGCTATTGCTCGATCCTCAATTTTTGATTTCGGGTTTCCAAATCGATGGTTTTCGTTTTGCCTTATGTGCTTGTGGTAGATCGTGGTTCTTGACAAACATAATCATGTGCTTTGTTGCCATTTGCAAGAACAAAAAGATGAAACTGAGATTGCCATGACCGATCCTTCAACAAGCCCAAATCTAAATGTTTGTCTTTCTTGTTCGTTGGAGAAGAAGAAACCCAACTCAAATGAACATCTCGATGCCTTTCTTATTCGTAGAGAAGAAGAAACCAAAACACAAATGAACATCACTGGTTCGATTCTCGTTCAAAACCACCATCGTCACCACTTGTTTGATTCTCGATCAATGGATGGGGTTTGCTAGAGAATGGAGGCCAATGATGGATATCCTCTTATTGTTTTCACCTTCAACCACCCCAAAAACGGTCACATCCTCTATGTTGCCGGCGAGGGTGAGATTGGGAGGGGAAGGGGTTATTATATATTTGATTTATATGTTAATAGAAAACAAAAAGGAAACTGTAAATATGAAAATACCCTTGAGTTAACGGAGTTGTTTAACGAAAGTTAGCTGCAGAGACCTCCAACATAATAAAAGTGAAACCACAGGTTTCTATCCATGAATTTTAGGGTCTAGGGACCACCATTGTAATTTGCAGCAACCCGCAGGTACCAAATTTGTAATTTACTTCTTAATATATATATATATATACACACGTCATGTAAGAAGAATAGTTATGGTGAGAATACTTCAATTCTAAGTGGATGAATTAATTTTTTAATCTAATTTAATTTTCTTTCAACAACCTTGTTTTCACCAGAACCTAACCCTAGATATATGCGTGGTATCGTGTGAAAATAACAATTATGGTGAGAATAATGAGAGCATTTATGAGCCTTTGAATGAGTAATGGGAGATTCAAATAAGAAGACTAAGGTGGCGTTTGTTTTTTAAGAGGTTCTGAAGTCTGAAGTCTGATTTCACTTCTGAATTTTAAGAGGTGGTACTGAAGTCTGAAATCTGAATCAGTCAGACTGTTTGTTTTTACGTCTGAAATCTGAAATCAGAATCAGTCAAGTTTTGGATCTGATAGATTTGGATCGATCTGGGTCATGATTTTACGAGAATATGTGGATCGATCTGGGTCGTGATTGATTTGGAGATCGAATGTCTTAGATTTGGAGGACTAAATCTGGAGGTGAGAATGGAGGGAAGAGTCTGGAGGGAGCGATTAAGAGGATTTAAGTGATTATGTTATCACTTTTTTTTTTCAGAGCAAATTAAGAGCTTTTCAGCTCTTATTTATATAAAAAAACAAACGGTCTGAAAATAAAAACGTTTGACCGGTTCAGACTTAAGAGGCATTAAGTGGTTTTTTTCAAAAAACAAACAAGCCCTAAATATTGTGAGAAAGTACGAATGATATAATTTGTGTTTTTTGGGTATAATTTGTTTGACTTAAAAAATAGGGGCGATAGGTAATTATTCTAAAAAAAGGTCGTTATACTCACTTTTGCAATCATACATGTTGTACCGTCTCATGTGATGGATATCTATTTTAGAGGTGATCATTTGCTGGTTTGGATGGGGTGTAGCCGGTGCCTAACCAAATGTTTTTGTCCAAATGTACTTATTATAGCAAATCCAAACATGTTTGTCAGACTTGATAATTTGTCTTTACCAGCACTATAAACGGGCGGACTTACTCGTAGGCTAATTGGCGTAAAAACGTTTAGTTTTTAAGAAAACAAAATTAATTGTGTATAAAGTAGTAAATATGGATAATTGAAATATTTACAATCGGAATTAGTGGGACGGGGAATTGAGAAGTTGGATGAGAGAAATGATCATTGATGAATCAAGGTAATTATAAGTTTAGTTTCTAAAATAGTATTACAATTAAGTGGGAATTTGGAAGTATCAGACTACAAAGCAAAGCAGGGGACTTTTATCGATGGAAAAAATATGTCAGTAAAAGTCCAACACATGAAACAATTTCATTAAAATTTCATAACCATATATGAAACAAATGGACCGTGCTTGGGCACCTATATTTAGAGGTGAATAAAGTTGGCATCTATCAACGATATATTAATGTAATATATATTATTATAATATTAAATTAGGTTTTTAGTGTTGTTTGGTATGTGTTTGAAGATTGTTTTTAGTGTTCAATGGATCCATCATTTTTAATGTTTTATTTTTAATAATTGGGTTGAAAATGGTATTAATTGTGAAAGGGTAGCGGAGCTTATGTTGGATTTTTTTAGAGAACTGTAAATGTAAAGTGGATAAATATAAAAAAAAGTCATGTGGTGCTGAGTTTTCAAAAGAAGTCGATTTAATTTACTTTTGATATTTAAATATTTTCTTTTATAATTAATTGTTTAGAAACAGTAGACTTTCACATCCTGCTTAATCCATTCATGCATGTTTCTAAGGAAGACTTAAAATAGGGGATGGAATTTCAACTAGGTGGGTAGAAAATCGTATTAAATATAATTAAAATTTTAATTTTAATAAATTAAATTATAAGATATTATTTTATTTATTTTAATTATATATATATATATATATATGTTTTTAAGAAAGACTTAAAATAGGGGACGAAATTTCAACTTCATGTGAGGTGGGTAGAAAATGGTATTTAATATAATTAATTTTTTATTTAAATAAGTAATTTTTGCAACTCTGGAGCTGGTTGGTTAGACTTTTCTACTGGACAGTGGGTACAATCTTCTTATTGTGGAAAGTTTGAGCTAAGAGCTGTGCAGTGTTGGATGTGGATGGAGGGACTGTTTTTTGGACATAAGCTGGATTTTGAGTTTCTCCATTGGGAGGACTCAAAATTGAAAATTTTGACATATCAAAAACGTGTGAAACCTTGTTTAGATGGGTTGGTTTTTTGAAGGCTTCATTTGTGTGATTATTGACTATTGAACTATCCTCACTTAGTACAGTTACGACCTTGATGTGCTCCTTATTTTTAGGGGTTTCTGTGTCACTAGGGAAAGTTCCTAAAGATCTATCATTGAGATCGGCGGCAAATTGACTGATTTGTGTTTCAAAACTTTTTAACGTTGCATTGGTTTGATTTATAAAACCTGTGAGTAATTATTAGAGTGAACCATTAACGTCTGATGTATTTTGTCTAAGCACATGTGCTTGTGAGGGTTGCCCACTTTGGTAATTGTGAAGAGGACATTTCCCATATCCGGGGAAATTTTATGGTTGTAAGATTGTCCATTTTGATAATTGTGAGGACCACCCTACCCATGTGGTTGTGAGGGTTGCCCATTTTAGTTTTAAAAAAAATATGAATTTCAAATAAGTTATTTCAGGGTTGAAAAAAATTGAACCAATTCCTATTTTAAACCTTAATTATTCACTTCAAAATCCTTTATTTTATTTTAACTTGTATGATTTCGTAAATACAAGTCCAACATCTTATTTCATTTACATTCAATTTTGATCGAGTCAAAGACAAAAAAATCGATAAAAGGAGGAAAATGTCCTTCCTTTAACGGCATTAATTTTTACAGCAGTTAGAGTAAGAGACCAAATTCTGACGTTTTTGTAGACATGATGACCATCTTGTATGAAAAATGTTATTTTCGACAAATCACATGGATCAAATATATAGCTAGATTATAATAAATGAAAATTTAATAAAGCAACTTCGTTTGAATTCCAAAACTGAGGGATAAAATCCAAAATTTACACTGGATTTTCGAATCTGGAGAGAAAAGAAAATAAATGGAGAGAGAAAAAGAAACGAAATATGTCTTTTTTATTAATACATCTTTCTAAAAAGATGTTATTTGTAACGAAAGGTCGGGTAATTTGTAATTCTAATAATCCGGAAGAAAAGTTCCGAGAGAAAATTTATGATTTCTTTCTTTCAGTTTCATTTCCTTTCTCTCTTAAAAGAAATCTGAAAACATAAGTTTTTTCTACTTTTTTTAAAAAAAAAAAAAAAAAAGGTTTCGAGAACACGAGGATAGTGGTTGAGCCATTTGCTATTATATATTGTGAAAAATTAATAGACAATTGGTATTCTCTCGTACCACGTTGCTTGAATTATTTGACTCTTAATATATAATTAAGCTCGTGAATGTTGACTTGGCCAATTGCCATTATTTATTTAGGGGTATTCTAACCCCAGCCCCTCCTACCCCAAAATCCCCACCCCCTCCTACATATAAAGACAAAAAACAACAAAAAGACAAAAATTAAATATTTTCATTTTTAACCTTTTAATATTTTAACTTTTGACCCTAACTTTTTTATATTTTAACTTTTAACCTTTTATTTTTTTAACATGTTTTATATTATTATTAATTAATAAAATATTAATAATACATATTAATAAAATATTAATAATACATATTTCAAATATAAATTAAATTTATTAATTAAAACTTTGATTTTTCATGTTAAATCAACATATTCACGAGTATGAGTACGCTCTATATATTCTTCATATGCACTGAATCTATGTTGATACGGGACAATCTATGTACTTGCATCTTCAAAACGATAACGAGTCCAATGGTGCGTAAGTGTGGGCATTGGATATTCTCCATTTAATACCACCTTTATGTAATGGTTACCATCAACATGCACTATTGCAATTGCCACGTGTTGAGATGACGACGGAGGTTGTGTAATCGAATGAACGATTAATTCTATAAGAGAGTGAAATCGAAGAGAGTGAAATCGTTCGATATATATATATATATCGATTTTTTTTACTTTATTTCAAATCAATAACTTTACTTTATTTCAAATCAATAACTTTACTTTATTTCAAATCAGTAACTTTACTTTATTTCAAATCAAATTATTTTTACAATTATGTAAACGAGTACACATGTTAAAACGTATTTTGTACTTAATGTCGATATTATTGTTCATAATGTAACATGTTACTTGATATATATAAGAGCTAATTTAACGTGACATGCTAAAACGTATTTTAGTTAATATAAAATTATGTATTTTTATGTGATAATGATGTAAACAAAAATTGAAAAAACAAATGGCATATCATAAATTAAATAAATAACTATAAATGTAAATATTAAAAATATTTTTTCATAGTATATAATATATATAATGATATAATTAAGTCAAAAAATATTCAATATTGGGCTTATTTCGAAGGTATTGACGTGACGATTATAATGGTGTAACTTATTAAAATTAAAACGTATTTTTTAAACGTATTTTAATTGATATACGATTATGTATGTTAATTTGATCAGGGTATAAAATGAAAATTTTAAAAGGAAAAGGTATAAAGTAAATTAATTAACTAATTATAAGGGTATAAAGTGTAAATTTAAATTTTTTATATTAAAATCGTGTGAGTGTGTGTGAATGTGGTGTTGATGTGAGTATGAAAAAATTTGTGAGGTGGGGAACAAAGGTGCAGGGGCTAGAAAGGTGGTGCAGGGGTAGCAATATCAACCCCTTTATTTATCTCTCTCTCTCTCTTATATATATATATATATATATATATATATATATATATATATATGAGCTACTGTTAATCCCCCCAAACACACAAACAGACCGTGTCTGAGCAATTAACAATGGCGGCAGCGGCAGCGGCATCTGTGGGAATCGCAGTGAAGACGTTGTTCATCGTACTCTTTATTACGATGGTAGCTTCATTTGCTTACTTACTAACCATTGATGGGTTAGGTTCTTGTTTCAACCTAAACGCAAGGTAATTAAATTATTAGATATTAGTTGTTTACGGAAACGAAATCACGCATAGATACGGGCAGTCGTACATACGCTTGAATTCGATTCTCGATCGTAGCATTAACTATTAATAAACCGATTGATGATGATATTATCATATCACAAATGAACCTGGTATTTTCAAATGCAAAATTGATTTATGTTTTAATTATTTTGTGGTTATAAATCTGAATGTAGTCAACGATATTGGAAATCAAGTCGTATTGATTTTGAAGACATGAATTGCACATGGGACAAGATGTAGATGGGACAAAAAGATAACACCATCATTTGATATAATCATAATACGTTATTTGCTTTAATGGTCAAAAGTGCTCATCGTTGCCACCATCATCGCCGGTAGCCACACCGCCAGCCACCATGGCCGGCCATCGTGATCAACCACCTCCACTATAATCTCTGGGTCCATCACAACCGCCAGACCTCCACTGTAATCTCCTTGTCCATGACAACCACCAAACTTTCACTGCAATCTCTAGGTATATTGCAACCACTATACCTCCATTACAACCACCGTTGACCACTGATCATCGGACACCTTCTCTACCACCTCCACCGCTGTTGGCTACCAATAGCACCGTCAATAACCACCTCTATATATCTCCACCATCTTGGCCACCGCACCACCACCACCTCTACTTCCTCCACAACCACCACATCCACTTCTATATCCAACTAATGTGGATCACTTAATTCAAATTATCAAATTATTGGATGAGAGAGAATAACATATATATATATATATAGAGAGAGAGAGATGAATGATTAAATGTAAACCATTCTTATTTGTATAAACTGTGCAAACCACACTCATCCATCGATTTTATTGTTTAATCTTATTAAATTTTTAATTTTTCTACTTATGGTAATTCTTTTATGAAATTTGTTGCAGGTGGATGGTAGCGGGAGTAACAGATTTTACCATAAAAATAGTTGTTATAGGGGTATGAAGCTTCATCTCAATTATGATGCTAATTAATTAAGTTAGTTGTTGTTTTGCAATAATTAAACAACATCTATAATATATATATATATATATATATATATATATCATAGTTTTTCTCTTATTTCAAATTTGAATCATTTTTCACTACTTCAAAAGAGAGTTTACATTTATTAAATTAGCTTCACGGCCAATAAAAAAGCGACGGTAGAACCCGTCAACACTTTTTTCACTTGATACAAGTTTATAGCGCACGGTGATTGAAGATCGATGCTCGTTGAAGGCAGCAAGTGTCTTTTAATTATTTAGTAACGTTACTATGGATGCGTTGTGGTTGTATAGGCATGGCTCGTGTACAAGGAATCGAACTTGATGGTGCCGGTTGCTTTAATAGCTTCAGCCTTTTTGCTTGGAAGGTGATGTTAATTATTTTTGTTTATCAATTTAAAAATTAGGTTAATGTATTGGATCAGACTAAATGCATACTTATATATAACCATTAATTTCTCTTCATACATATTAACATTAACATCAACACTCACTTTTTACATTTTTAGTGTATGTTTTCATCTGATTTAAATATAAATAATCGTTGACATAGAAACACTTGAAGCATTATTTATAGGGTTTTATTTTTTGAGGTTCATATTGGTCTATCAATCAATTAATTCCACCGACTCTGACAAAGTCAAAAGGGAAATAATTGTAATAACCTTAATTTTATGAATGCAATAATGCATTTTTTTTTTCATTTCTACGTTAACGACAAGGAAAGATATAAATCAATTTAATGGAAAATTTTAATAAACAGGTGGACAAAAACCATTGGATTTTGCAAAAGTCATGAACAAATACTCGAATAAACGAAGTTAGGGATGAAAACTGTTAAACTCTACAGATTTCATAAATGAAATCCATAATTTAATGTTATTATAATGTTATTTTTTCTTGCTTGTTTGATTAATTTTATATATATATATATATATATATATATATATATATATAGGGATGAGTTCAAATAAAAACCATTCAATTTGTAAAAACCGTGAAAACCTCATTCAACCAATCATAATTTTTTATTTTGTTTATCTTTTTGTAATTATGAGAGGTTGATTAACCATTTTTATTGTGGAGGGTGTTAATCATGTATATTATCATCTTCATTATTTTAATTTTAGAGAAATACATGAAACAGTTCCATTAAAATTTCATCAAGTAGTATATGAAACAACTTCATAAAAAAAAAAGTATTATATGAAACAATTTCACAAGATTAACAATTTCATGAAAAAATTTCATAAGATTAACGACGGATGAGAGTAGTTTTTACGGTTTTTACAAATTGGAGTGGTTTTCATTTAATCGCTCCTCTCTCTCTCTCTCTCTCTCTCTCTCTCTCTATATATATATATATATATAGGTGGAGGTTTAAAGAAACGAGAACACCTTTATTTTACAAAAAACCTAAAGATGCTCATTACAAAAATGAAGAGTATCGGCAAAGGAAAATTCCCTCGCTGATCCGTCGTTAAATGGGTCTTCCGTTGTTGATCATTCATCGGTCAAAAGCTCGTCGGTAATGCTCTCAGCAACGGACCAGCGAAAGAATCTTTCAGCAATGGAATGTTTAGCGAGAGAACTGGTTTTTGACCAATCCCTCGCTGATTAGCGAGGGATTTTTTCCGTTGCTGATATTTTGTTTCTAGTAGTGGCTCCTATGACATGTGATAATAAATGTGAGACCTGGTGGCGTGCATGTGACTTGGATTGTCACCAAAGGTCATCCACGTCTTTCATTTAATATCATATGTGATTGACTATAATAAAAGAGTGTTTATACATTTTTATAAAATGAAAATATTTTTGTTTGAACATTTTATATACATGTATATACAAGAAAAGGTTCAAATAAGAAATATTGTCATATATAGTAAAATTAACTGTCTTAATTACCTTTTACAGCGTTACTACATGTGGATACATCATTGTGCAGTTCTTCAAGTTGTCACGTGAAGAATCCTCAAAAGATCCATTATATTTTGTGTTGGTCAGACGTCATAAAACGTAAGAATATATATAGTCGGGTTCAAACGAAAACAATATATATATATATATATATATATATATATAAGAGAATAAGAGAACAACATGATCATACGTGATTTTACACTAACGTTATATACAAAATCACATGTGTTTCACCCGAATTTCCCCCCACAACTTGAAGACATGGGCCATAGGTCGTCCACACACTCTTTTGGCATTTAATATAAAATCACATGTGATTTTGTACTTGATTTAGCCGTTCTCGTATTTTCTTAAATAGTTAGGATTCCCGTTTTATCTCCCCCCCTCTCTCTCTCTCTCTCTCTCTATATATATATATATATATAGACTAGATCCTTAGTTATTTTAATTAATCAAAATGTTTATTATAATTAGTTTTTATATACATATTTGTGTTATATAATTAACCAGGGATCATATTACTGTGGGAGTTTCTATTGTAACTGCAAGAGTAATCATTTCTGCACTAGGCTGCCTGATGCTGGGAGTCTTAATTTACACGGGTCTTGCTGATTGGCTTCCATCTCATCCCAAACCATTCGCACGGTATTTATTCATATACAAATTTCTTTCTTTCTTTTTGTATTTATTCTCCTTCACTTCATATGGGCTGATCAAACACAGATGCATATGGACATTTGCCACTGACCTCTATATTCACAATGTCATTTTATCGGTACGTCTTCGCTAATTAATTGGTTCTTATTTCACATATTTATATGAGAGATCGACGGTTATAACATAACTGTACAACAGTTATAATTGTTAACGTTTTTTCTGATTCAATGATAGAGGACAACTTAACTTATAGTTAAGCTACGACTTAATTGCTTAAGTTAATTTTCAGGTGTGGGTGGCATATAAGGAATCAAGCTGGATAAGTGCTGTCTCATGGGTACTTTCAATTTTATGTTTGGGAAGGTAAGTAGTTAATGCAAATCATGATCAATTTCAAGGAAAAGACAGCAACATTTTATTTTTACTGTTATTTTGTGCTGATATTCATTTTTAACTCTATGTTCACAGCATTGCTATATGTGTATACATAGTTTGGCAGCTGTACTGCCTCTCACCTCAACAGCCTATTTCCCTTTTAATTTTCAACAATAAAAACAGGCAAGTCCTACAAACAACTTGGTTATGAATTTTCATGGTTTGGATTTATATATGTCACTACAACAAAAATTGGGTTTATAGGACACCCCCAATCTCTAAGTGTCCCAATAGACCGTTTTATAGAATCAAAATATAAAACGTCATATCTAAAGGTGTTGTAATAAGTTTATACGACACTTTTGAGCGTCTTAACAAGTGTCACATTAGCAACTTTATATGACACTTTTGATAAATTGTCCTATAAACTCAATTTTTTACAGGACACTTTTTCAAATATATGCATGCTAGAAATGAATCTTTGTACTTAGAAATGTAAGTTTGGTCATATCTCTAAATTTATGCACATTTTATGTGTCAATCTTTGTGTCATATATATTTTGTTCTCATTGAAGTAACGAGTTGTATAGAATTTATATATGGTGGTCGGTGGATAGATTGAAATTTCTGTTCGGGTCGATATATATAGACATTATGGAATCATATTCGTATTCAAGACTATATATACTCAATAGTCATATGTTGTAGTAGCTTGTGAACATAGCCCTTGTAACGGGTGAACCATGTAAATCTATGTTTAGTATTTATCATTTGTTAACCATTTATTTGATAATTATACAAACACTAATATCACAATATATTATATATATTGTAATTACTTTTATTTTGTTCAATGTTTTCTTAAAACATTCTAATTTTTGCAGAGATTTGCAGACAAATGATCCGTTGTTGATGGCGCATCCCAATGTATAACTATAATACGCTAAGTGAACATTTGATTTCTTTTGTAGTTGTAAATGACCAGGTCATATGGGTTTTTTTCCTCGTTTTAAAAGCGAATAAAGAAGTGGAGTTTGTGACTATTATGGGTCCTGATTTTTTTAGCATTTCAGTTGTGTATTTGCCTATTTAAAGGCCACTTCATATTTGAATGAGATTGACTGTAGAGCTGCTGCATATCTTTCTATATAGTTTCTTAACATTATCTTCTGTTTTTTTTCTACCAGTCCTCTGTTTTTCTCTTATCAACAATTCCAAATAATAAAGTTACAAACTTTAATTGAAAATTATGACAGTGGTGTAGAGTGATATTGTTATAAATTCTGGTTTTCGATTGCTTGGATTCCACTGAAAGTCGTGTATCACTTTTAGATTGAAGTATTTCGATGGTATAATCGAAATTTCAATTGGATAAAATTCAGTGGTTTTCCAGAAAAGAGAGTTTTCGTGTTATCAAATATGTGTACCAAAAATCAAATGACCAAAATCGCAGCTTTTCCCTCAAATGGTCGAAAACTGCCATACGACAGTTAGAAAAACCGGGTTTCCAAAACAGAGTCAAAACCGGGTTTAAAACTTCAAATTCGGATTTTTGAAGCATTTTTCACAAAGCAATATTACAGCTCGATCCAGCCAGGGGCTCTGCCCCTTGGACCCCGCTAAGGATTGCTGCCTCTTGGACCAATTTATATAGTGTTGGGTTCACGTGAGACCAAGAGTTTTTCGTGAGACCTGCAAGATCAATTTATGTTCATTGATCAACTTTATAAGCTAATAATCTAATGGTCTAAAGTTGTACGGTGGCAATTTCGTGATTATTGAGAAGTCTCGTGGCAATTTTGTGATTATAAATGTTCAGATTGTAGATCTAATCCAATGGTTGAAAATTGGTCTTATGGGTCTCACGAAATACTCTTGGACTCACATGATGATCCCAAGTCTCTATATATATATATATATATATAGGGGCCTAATCAAATGAGAACTAATTAGTTTGTGGTAACTGTGAGAACCAATATTAACCACAAATCAATAGATAAATTATGAAATTTATAATTTTGGCAATTTTGAATTAAAATATTAATGCAAGGATATTTTTGGTATTTTAAAACTTTCCTCCCTCCTCTCTTCTTTCTCTGGCCACCGTCCTCTGGTGATACTACAATGGTATCACAATGCATCATATATGTGCTTCGGTATCACATTGATGTCGTTTGTGTGGTCGATCGAAGATGTAACACAGTGGTATCACTATGCATCTTATATATGATTAGGTATCACAATGTATCTTTTGTTTAACAGAGTCAATATTTTTAGGTATCACAGTGGTATCATAGTGGTATCACCGGAGGACGGAGAACGGTGGCCGGAGATAGAAGAGAGGAGAGAGGAGAGATGAGAGTTTTAAAATACCAAAAATATCTTTGCATTAAGATTTTAATTTAAAATTACCAAATTTATAAATTTCCTAATTTATCTATTGATTTGTGGTTAATATTGGTTCTCACAGTTACCACAAACAACTCAGTTCTTCCTTGAATAGGCCCCTATATATATATATATATATATATAACTTTGGTCCCTGAGGTTTAGTGAAATCCTTGAGAGTGAGACCCGAACTTCAATAAGTCAAGTTTCATCCTCTAAATATAAAATTTTCATTTAAAGTGGGACCTGACCACTAAATCCGTTAAAAATGTTTGTTAGATCCAGGGTTAAAATCGTCCAACCTTTTTTCCCCTCTGTTTTTCACTTTTTTTATTGTTTTTTTTCTTATTTTTGTAAAAACCATCAAGCTATAGAGACCAACTCTGTAATTAACTCTTATACATACATACATACATATGTATATATTATACATACATCACCATCGTCCTTGTTGGGAAATCTAAACGAAAATCCTAGAAGGACGAAATCTTCATCCACCAAATCCTAAACCCACAACCCAGATCGAAGAAATTATCTCACCAAATCCATCTCTAAACCCACAACCCAGATTGAAGCAATCATCCACCAAATCCATCTCATTGTCATCCCTTCTTTTCCAATCAATACAATACCAACTCGATCTCAATTTTTTGACTTGTCCCTCTGATTTGGTCCCTGTTACAAACCACCACCATCACCGTGGTATGAAAATCTTTGAAGAGGATGATGCCCACCACAGTCTATTGTTGCATCTCTTTACCTATCCATCACCTTTTTTCACTCATATTAACAATTTCATCGAGATTAATTTTATTTAATAATAATACATTGCGTAATTTAAATAATTGATGATCATAATCCCCATAATCAAACAACTATTAAACTGTAACCACTCATTAATTAAAACAACATGTAACTTATATATATATATATATATATATATATGTATGTATAATTTACCCTTATGTCCTTATTACATAATCAATATTATATTGAAACCTACCACAAGCAATGAATTATATTGATCCACTAGGTTAACATAGTTAACGCTAAAAGTTGAGTTAACAAAAGAACCTAGTGCGCTCTCTCTCTCTCTCTCTCTATATATATATATATATATATATATGATTATACGCATGATACATAAACGTAATCATATACGATTAAACACATGTTGCATTGACAACACATAGACGCTTAATCATATATGGTTAAACACACTCAAAAGGAGTGTAATCATATATGATATTGAGACTTCTCATCTTCTTGCAAAATGTTAACTTCTCGCATTGTCCTTCCTCTCTCTTTGTATATATATTCTGCTTTGGGTAAAAAACTCCAACTTTTATTAGTGTGCAAATAATAATCTGGAAAAATATCTAAGAATTTTGCTTCATCTATTACAAAAGTAATATTATTATGAGAGAAATAGATGGTTATTAGAAGGTTTTCTTGGTTCCTTTAGGGTGTGTTTATTATACAGGCAGAACATGACATGACAGGACATGACAATTATTCATCGTTTGATAAGACATAATAGGATAAGACATGACAGAATTGATTAAAATGATCAATTTACCCCTAATAAGCTGTTTAGTGTTTTCTTTACCAAATAATCAATCTAAATGAAAATTAACAATCTAGATAGAGTTAGACCGACATCACATGATCAAAACATCAAAGGCTCCAAAATAAAGAAGCAAATGAATATATCACAAGAAAAAAACAAATGAATTGTACCAAAATCGTACATGAGTTGATAAATATATCACAACCACCAAAACCAATGGTTCAAAATCATAGATTCGAATTTGTACATGAGTTGATAATGCATAAGTTCCAAAATTGTACCAAAATCACATGTTCAATGCATCACATCAAAGAAGCAAAGGAATCTTAAAAAATGACAACAAAGAAGTAAAAATTGCAGGTCAAAAATGGAGAAGTCGGTGATTACCTATGGTAGAAATCGCAGGTTAAAACAAGGAGAAATCGAGAAATCTATTGTTGTTAAATAAGAAATCGGGATGAAATTGATGAACTAAGAGTGAAAAAAATTTGTTGGTTAAAAATGGAGAAGGTCGATTGACTACCCGTGAAATAAATCATTAGTCAAAACAAGAAGAAATCAAGAAATTTGCTGCTGTTAAACAAGAAATCGTGATGCCGTATTTGAAAAAATCGATAAACAAGGAGAAATCGAGATAATGCGGTTAAAAACGATAAACAAGGAGAAATCAAGATGAAACTGAATCACTCAAATTGCATTCAAAGCGAATTCATATCTAGAATATGAAAACTTGACTTATTGAAGTTTTTGTCCACTTTCAAAAATTTCACTAAATCTCTTGGACCAAAATTGTTTACTTCATATTATTATACATAATTCATATGTATTCACTACGTTTTATTTTCTTAAGGAAAAATGAGGTATAGATGTAAAAAGTCTAAACTGCTTTTAATTTAAAGGGTTATTTTTAACGGTAGTAAAATAGAAGGAATCAAATTCAAAAAATCATATCAACGATGATCCCATCTTATATTTATTAAACAGCAGAACAAGAATATTATAAAAAGACAAAATACATCTAATAAAACACGAGGCGATAACGTTGTAGTAGGGGTTTTTTATTAATAGGAAAACGTTGACACTATTTTTTAATCATTAAAATTACACATTGGTCGTTCCATCTCAAAACATCGTTGATCCCAATTCCCTACAAGAAGATCCATCCCCTTCTCACTCTCTCATAGACCAAAGATCGAAGCAATAATGGCGACTATGGTGGCATCAGTTGGAATTGCAGTGAAGACGTTAATGAGCATATTGGCTTGTGTCATGGCAGCTTCAATTGCTTACTTACTCGTCGTCAATGGCATCTCTACTTGTTTCGCCCCCCGTGATTGGTAATTAAATTAGAAGCTTAAATTTTAGATCTGCATATGTCTATGCAAACCTCATGGTTTTCAAATGCAAAAACCGACTTTGATTTTGTTTCTAGTTTATCGTATAACATCGTTGATTATCTTCTTCTTTTTTTGTTTTTTGTGTAGTTATAAACCTGAATATAATCGACCAAATTTCTGAAAAAGTAGTGGGAGTCGTATTAGTTTTGAAGTCGATACGCAAGTGCTTAGTTTGAATACAGAAGATGAAAGTTTAACTGTATATTAAATTATTAATATCAGTTGTATATAAAAATTAGTTTTTAAATAATAAAAGAAACAATGTTAATATAGAATGTCATATTAATAACTTAAAGGTTATTTTATTAGTTTTTAATAGTTAAAATACATTTATCACTACAACAAAATTGAATTTATAGAACATCACTAATTTTTAAGAGTCTTAAAAAACTATTTTATAGGACTTAGTTTATATGACCAGAATATAAAACGTTCTATTTAAAAGAGTTGTAATTTATAGGACATTTTGGACTTTCTAACAAGTTTCTTTAAGGACACTTTTAATATAAGGCGTCATATTATCAGTTTTATAGACTATTCAAAAATGTTTTATAAATTCAGCTTTTTATATGATACTTTTTCAAATAGTATCCTATAATATTGTTAATGCGACGTTTTGTATTAAAAGTGTCCTAAAAAACTTGTTAAAATGCTCAAAACGTCCTATAAACTTATTACAACGCCTTTAAATAAGACGTTTTAGTTTTTGATCTTGTAAATTAAGTTTTGTAAAGTGGTATATTAAGAGGCTTAATTTTTTCGGCGTCATTTAAACCCGACTTTATTGTACTATTTTCCGATCAACAATTTAAAGGTTCTAAGTTTTAGTCTTATATTAACTAATTAATTTTCTAAAATTTAATAATAAATCATAGGAATCTCTGAATTTTTATAATATTATATTTCGTCCTCTTTATAATATTGAATTTTTATGATATTATATTTCGTCCTCTTTCAATTATTTTTCGTCCTTTCAATCCGAAAACAAATCACATGGTCTTTTAATTTCATGAGTTTATATCCCATCAATCATTTATGAATATTATTTATTATTTAATAATATATTTATTTATTAGGTGTTTGAATTTAAAAAAAATTGAAATTACTTTAATTTTTATTAAATGTCAAACTCAAATTAATAATATATTATATTTTATTAATGTTATTATTGCTCTATTATATTATTATTATTTTAAATTATATTATATAACTATTTTATATATATTCTATATATATAGCTAGTTATATAGATGTTGGTTAATTATTATACAACCTTTGATATTTGTACTACCAATACAACCTAATCTCAACCGTCCATTTCATTTGATTAATATGTGATTTCATAGAAGTTTTGATTGTTTCCTAATATAAAGTATCGATCATAATTAATGAACCATATTCATCTTCTATAAATATTCAAATCATAATAAATGAACTCTCATCATTTCCATAAATATCTCAATTTATTGGGTTGCAAGGGTTGTATTTGAAACAAACTCTATATATATAAAAATATATTATATATAATTTTTATTTATACTATTATATTTGTAGGGGTCCATTCAAGGAAGAACTGACTAGTTTGTAGTAACCGTGAGATCCAATCTCAACCACAAATCAATAGATAAATTAGAAAATTTATAATTTTGGTAATTTTGAATTAAAATTTTAATGCAAGGACATTTTAGATATTTTTTCGCGTTTCTCCTCTCTTTTCTCTCCATCCTCCGACCACCGTCCTACGATAATACCACTATGATACCTAAAAAAATTGACGTTGTTAAACAAAAAGACACAGTGTGAAACCCAATTACATATAAGATGCATTGTGATACCACTGTGTTACATCTCTGATCGACCACACAAACGACCTCAGTGTGATACCCAAGCACATATAAGATGCATTGTGATACCACTGTGGTATCACCGGAGGACGGTGGCCGGAGAGAGAATAGTTTTAAAATACCTAAAATGTCCTTGCATTAAAATTTTAATTCAAAATTACCAAAATTATAAATTTCATAATTTATCTATTGATTTGTGGTTGAGATTGGACCTCACGGTTATCACAAAATAATTAGTTGTCATTTGATTAGGCCATTATATTTGTATTTTATATATATATATATATATATATATAATACAAATATATTAGTATTAGAATCTTATCCTTTTTATTTAAATATTTTCAAAAATATTAATACGAAAGTGATTTTTTATAAACATTATATAAATACAAGTTTTGATTAAATCTAAATTATTTCCGGTAATTGTAATATTAGTTTGAAAATATGCTAAAAATATAATGATTTTAAAAATGTAATTATTTTTACAATAAATAGTATTTCAAATTTCTTAAGTTATTTTAATATTATCAAAATGTTAAAAATTTTATAAAGTTATGAATACGATTATTTTAATAATGGTCATTATTATTTTATTGTTTTAATTAAATATTTTTTTCATAAATACTTAAATTATTTATGTTTTATTTATATTGATGCTTGATGATTATTTTGTACATGTAAGACAAATAAAATGATTGTCTATGGGTTAGGGATGCATACACATCTTCATTTTCTTTCACATGTTCATCTTTTATCTCTTCGTTTTTTTTTTCTTCATATTACATATTATATAATTATTAGAAAATAACAGTAAGAAAACATTGATATAAAAAATTAATAAAAGAATTAAACATTTATTTACCCAATCATTTATTCTTTAAAAAATAAATAGAAAACATTTTTATATTTTATTGGTTTGATTTTTATGTTGTATTCAATAATAATATAAAAATAATAAAAATTAAACATTCATTTATATAAATAATGATTAAAAGAGTAATAAAAGAGAAAAAGAGAAAAAAAAAAGAATTGATTGATAAATTATATTAATTCAATTGTAATATAAATATTTAAGTAACAAATATAATAAAATAATAAGACAAAAAAAAGACCAAACGATAATAGGGTTAAGAGTGTAGTTAGCAAGGGTTACGGGTGTCACTAGCCTCCCCCAGCTCTAGGCCACAAATCAACTTTCACCAAATCTCTTTTCTTGTACGTCTAACAACTTTTAACAGATTAAAAATGATCTGTGCCAACTTTTCTTGTATATCCATTAAAAATGATCTGTTAAAAGTTGTTAAACGTATAAGAAGAAAGATTTGATGAAAGTTGATTTGTGGCCTATAGTTGTAAAAAGATGAAAAGTTTTTTTATATTACTTTATTTAATAAATGAACAAACAATAATAAGTTTGTAGTTTGATTCGCAAGCGAATAGTAATGAACATCGCCGTTCAATTATGTTCATTTGTTAGTATTCATTTATTAATATTCATTTAGGTGTATTTATGTTTGTTTATATTCATTTATTTATGTTTTTTTATAAAAATATATTATATAATTATTAATCAAATAAAATTTTAGTTAGAGATTTCAAAATAAAAATATATTAAAAATATTTTATATAATTATTCAATTTTTTTGTTTCTTAATGTTTGTTTATATATGTTTGCTTATGTTTGTTTACGTTTTTATTTTTTTTGTTTGTTAATTTTTATTTATGTCTATTTAAGGTCGTTCGTTTAACATCTTCAATAAATGAACATGAACGTATACGTACAAACTAATTTTCTTAACGTACAAACATGAATATAAAAAGTTCGTTCATTTTCGTTTGTTCGTTTAAGTTGAACGAACGGAAGTGAATAAACTTATGTTCGTATTCGTTCGATTTGTTTGCACAACCAACTCATCCATTTGAAAGTGGTGAATAAAAGAGTGAATTATAGATTTCGTCCCTCTTTTTATGATATTTAACATATTGGGTCTAAAATAAATAATTTAAAAAAAAAACAGTCATGGTTTGTACTATTTTGTTAGGGACCATCCGGAAGGGATGAGGTAAATGCACCCATATACATTGCTAAAAATGCACCCAAGGGCAGGTGAAAATGAGAAGCTAAACATTTTACGAGAATACGAGAAGTTTCAATATCATATATAATTACATGTATGATATACAAACTTAATCATATATGATTAAACACATGTTGCATTGACAATACATAAACGCTTAATCATATATGATTAAACACAACCAAAGGAGCGCGATTATATATGATACTGAAACTTCTTATCTTCTAACAAAATGTTTAACTTATCGCATGATCTCTCCTGAATGCACACATACCCATAAATTTCATCCTCACACACACATCAAACATCAATTCTTACTTTTACGTTCACAATATATGAATTTATTTGATTATGAAATAAAATGAATACAAATAGCATTTCCCTTTCGAAATTATCCCTTACACAAGGAGAAAAGGAAAGAAAAGAAATTGAACCAACAATCCGAATAACTCCAAACGGACATTGCTTTAATTACAGAAAAGTCTACAGTTTTTCTTATCGATGAATCAATGCATCAATCGATTTCGTTAAGTAATTGACTTATGGGATTGATCAATCATTCAAATAAATGTATTATACATCTCGGTGCTGGTAAAATCTTGGTTTATTTAGGGGGTGTTTGAGATTGCTTATAAAAACAACTTATTGACTTATTCCGGTGTGACATCGGTAATAAGCACTTTTGAGTGTTTAGATAAACAACTTATACCAGTGCCAAACTGGTAATAAAGAGTTTTTGAAAAAGTTAAACCATTTTAACTTATAATAAGTTAATAAACACTTTTATAGAAAAACATAAGTTGTTTCAAATAAACAATCCCAAACACCCCTTAATCATCGAGGATTTGGTATAATTTATGTCATAAAAAATATGTTTAAATATTTATATTTCCTCTTTAATAAGTTTGTTGTCAAATTCATTGCAGGTGGATGCATGTGGCATTGGTAGATTTTTGCATAACTATCGCTATTATATGGGTATGAAAGTTAATTTCAGTAACGAAGAGGTTAAGGGTTCGTTTATCAAATGTCTACTGTTTATCGACATTTAAGAGTTATCACCTACACTTGTTAAGTGCTAACCGGGTAAAAAACTTATCAATCACTTACCGTGTAAGATTATCATTCCTTGTCATGCTCATCCGCTAAGCCTTTGACGGACGTCCTCTAAGTTGTTATTTGTTTGACATTTAGACGCTGGCATTTAACTAAGCGGCCGTTTACTAGATGCTTACCGAATAAGCGCTTACCAAATGTCACGTAAACTTAATTACCGGGTGAGCATGACAAGACCGAGAATCTTATCCCGAAAAAGGACATAGCAAAAATCAAGATCTTGCTTTGGAAGTGAGGGACTCTTATCTGATAAGCACTACCTGGGGAAAAAGACACATACCAACAATCCATTTAAATGAGGTAGTGACTCTTGCTGGTCAGTAATTACCCGATAATTGTTTGGTAAACGGTCCCTAACTCTCCTAATTCATATATTATCTTGTTAAAGTTCTACTTTGGTTAGACTTTTGACTAGTTCTCTTCGATATATATCTTTAGGCTTGGTTTGTCTACAAGGAATCAAGTTGGATCATAGGAGTTGCTTTCTTGTTTTTGTTATTTTGGGTCGGAAGGTAATTTTAACTTTGTTTATTAGCAGTCTAACATGCTTAGAATCAACTTTCATTCACTTGATTACAGTCGAGTAATTTTCTATTTGGTTTTGCAAACAATTATATATTGAATTAGGTTTAAGCGAAAACCAAAAAAAAAAAAAAAAACTGAGAAACATCCTAATAACCATTCATATACGATATAACATATGCATAAAATACACAAGTTCATAGATACACGAGGAAACGTTTCCAATTACTTTTATGCACATATGCATACCGAACAAATGAATAATTATTAGGTTGTTCCTCAAATTTTTAATGTCTTTTTGGTTCGCGAACTTGAGATATATGCATACTAGACAAATGAATGGTAATTTGGGTGTTCCTCGTTTTTTTGTTTTTTTTTTCGGTTTTCCACTCAACCGAGTCTATATATACACTAATATATTGATAGTGATGACTTTCTTCTGGTTTTGAGCAAACTACTTTCGATAGGTTTAGAAATGTGATCTCCATATTATATCTTATCAGGGTTGGTGTTATAATCAAATTTTCTTTCCTTCTACAGTGTTGCTACCTGTGTATACATCGTTCTGCAGTTTTATAAGTTGTCACCCGAAGAATCTCGGAAAGATCCATTATATTTCGCGTTGGCGAGACGTGAAAAAGGGTAAGAATAATGGGTATTTGGATGATCCTCCATATATGTGTGTGTGTGTATATATATATATATATATATATATATAGATATATATCTTGCCAAACAACATACACTTATGTTCCCTGCTTAATTATTTCTTCATGTTGCCTTTGATTACTTGTATATCCTTTTATGATATCCACCAAGTATTAGTTTTTGAGAGAGGGCCACACCTCTAATGATCAAAGCTTTGGTTTTACACTGGAATGTATGCACAGAAAAGCAAATCTCTTTTGCTTTTATGTCATAACTGATCGACTTCATGTATCTGTTCAAAAAATGTGTTGAGATATTCAACTACTTCTAATTTTGTTTATATATTTGGCTTATATATACAGGGATGCCATGGTACACAGAAGGGGGCCTTCTGTTGTAACTGCAAGAATAATCCTTTCTGCACTAGCCTGCTTGTTGCTGGGAACTTTCATTTACACTCTTATTGTTGATGGGTCTCCATTCCAATCCAAAGTGTTCACCCCGTAAATTTCCTACTTTCTATTTCGGGAAAAAAACCCATCTTTAGGGTTATTTGGACTGCCAGAAGAGTGCTCTTGTTGGCCTTCAATCTTCTCTATTAGCTCTTCATATGCAGTGTAAAGCTAACACCAATAAATGGTTACAGGTGCATGATAGCAACACTAACCGATATCTATATCCATGTTGTCGTTTTCTCGGTACGTTTCCGTTCATCTTTGTCTTGCTTTTCTTTTCATTAAATGTTCGTAAATCAAATACGAAACCAGTTGAGTTGTATTTTATGAGTTTCGAACGTAGGGGTAAAATAAATAATTACATACATTGAGACATTTATCGATTTATGAGAACAAAGACAGACACGAATTTTAACTTTCAGACTTCAACACCAGCTCTTATCAATAATAAGTGAAATAAGACTTCAAACTTCAACGCATCTTAGAAAACAAACTGAAACCTTACTAAATAAAGTAGTTATTTTTCTCTGTGATAAGAATACTGACCGTTCCTTTTCAGGTGTGGGTGGCATATAAGGAATCAAGTTGGACTAGTGCTTTCTTTTGGATGGTTCTACTTGTATGCTTTAGAAGGTAAGATTTTATTAGAATCAAGTCACCTTTTGTTAAACTTTTTTTCTGATTTAAGTTCCAAAGATTTATATCGTTGTTTTTGCACATCAAGCAAATAGACGCACAATCTTATCTTCATTTTGACTCGCCATGTATATAAATTACTGATCTATCATCCACGTGTTATCAAAACAAAGAGGCATATCATAAACCAAAGCAAATCATCGAAAGTGGTGTCTGAGGAGGTAGGACCATAGGATTGAAGGCAAACCTATTCTTCACCCCCAATGAGTAGAGAAGTAGTTTTTGTGAAGACTCATGGCTTGTGAAAAACGTGTTGGAAAGACATGAGAGAAACAGCCTCTGATCTTTACCCCTAATGTTTTGGGACAACCTGCTAATCATGGCACAATCAGATATCATTATTGCTTTTTTTGTCGGTATTTGATATCTTCCTAGTTCTAAGTGTGTTTCATGCCGATTACATCACACACTACACATCTAGTAGTTTTGGGTAGAATCTTAAGGGTGTGCAATATGATAAATGCATACTATGAGGTAACTGAAAATAATAGACTAAAGTATGTGCATTCAATTATCATATAATGATCTTAATCGTCGTCTGATTTTATCATAATGCTGAATTCAGTTGCATATAATGCGAGATATATGTTTGTTTGCTCATGTTTACTTTCAACTTTTTCACAGCATTGCTACATGTGCATACATAGTGCGGCAATTGTTCTACCTCTCACCTCAACAGTCTGTTTCATGTATAATATTCAGCAAAAGTAACAGGCAAGTTCTACAATGAGCTTTGATGAATTTTGATAACATTGCATATATATAAGTATGGTACATGGGAATCACCATTAATCATGTAACAACATGTCTCACATGGATAGAAAATTAGATATGTGAGCTCCTTATAAACTCAAAATTGTCGGTTACCAATAACTTTCACCATAGTTTTAAGTTAAATAAGAAGTTATTGGGCCAACATGTTGTTTTGTGCTATTGGGCATTTCAAATCTTGTATAAGATATCTTTCAACAATGAGAAGATAGGAGTAACCTTGATCAAGAACAAAATCAATGCCATAAGTAATTGAAAGTGCTAGATCACAAAATATCTTAAATCTGTTTACGAGCAACCTTTTTGTGTTACTATATCTTGCAAGTCAATAACAAAGTCTTTGACAATTCCATTTGTTCCCCTTCAAAAAATTGAGAGTTGGGGCTAAATCTCTGCTTTAGACTCGGTATGTTGTTCATTGTTTGGCTCATGAAACAGGTAGTCACTCGACATCATGATAGTATAACATGTTAGTAGGGCCATTAATTTATAGGTCCAACCTTTGTTTGCCACTTGATATATATGAATCTATATATGGAACAAAATAAGCTAATATATATGCATGGTCTGTATGAATCTTGTATTTAAAAATGCATGGGAGATATAGATGTTATGTCTATGGTTTTTTTTTTTTTTTGCATAATTTCCATGCCAAATTTCCATATTTCACCATGTTTTCTTCTCTAAATAATGCAACTCTTTCTTGATTTTTTCGATAAATCTTGCAGAGATTTACAATCAAGGGATCCATTATTGGTGCCACATTCGGATGTATAACTAGACTATATATATAGTTCATTGTAATGGTTTGCATGAACAAGTGGTTGAATATGTAGTATTGAATCAAACTTAGCTTGAAATAGACGATGAGATTAATTTGAAGGGTAATTGTCTATTTAAAATAAGTGGTGCAATATAAGCTTGTAAACTGAAAGGTTTAACAGGTTTGAAGTTCTCGTCACAACAACAATGTGCAAATATGTAAGATTGTTTTAAGGCTGCATTTGGTATGTGAAGTCATACATTGAATAAAACCGGATCGGATAAAACATGACTTGTTGTTTATATAATATTGGAAAAAATTTGTATATCATGGGAGAAAATGTTGAATTGACTAACTTGTCCCCACCCAAAGTATTAGTTTGATATATTTTTTTACCATATAATAATTATAAATGAGATATGCTAAGTAAAAAGTTAAATATTTTTATCAAAAACACATCTCACATGTAAAGCTAAATGGTTATGTTACAGGATTTAGACTTAAAATATTAATTAAATGTCTAATTAGTACAAACCTTAAATATTATGATTACAGAATACTTTTAATCAAAGTTTTGATAATTTAACAATTAAGGAAAGTGGAGTTAATTATAAAGTTATTATAAAAATAAAATATTATTCGTGGACAACAAATTAAACTAATTTGTAATTTCAACTAAACTTATTAGGACTTACACAACAAAAGTTTGTGTATATTAGGACTCTGATGGTCCGTGCAGGGGTATATATAGTCATATGTTATTTTGAGAAATGGTAAATATTTGAGAAGTAAAAAAAGTGATCATAACCTTCATACAGTCAAGATCGGATTTGACTGGTCAAGAATTGTGACTTTGACTAGTCAAAATTTGCAGTTATGCGTAAAATAGAGGGGGTGGTTTTCTAACTTTTACAAATAGACGACAAACGGTTCATATGTGAACCCGTGTGATTGAACTATATGTTCATATGTAAATATATGAACTATTTTAACTGATTTACATATAAATTCGTGTGATTCACATATGAACCCGTAGAATTCACAAATGAACTAATTAATTGATTTACATATGAAACTTGGTTTATATGTGAATCAATTAAATAGTTTACATAGGAACCCATTTGCCACCCACTTGTAAAAGTTACGAAACTACCCCTCTATCTTCCCCACGGGCCTGGTTTCATCGTCTCAGCACCTTTCTTCAACGCTTGGGGTTTGTATGCAGTCAAGCAAACATGTTTTTATTTGTTTATCAACATGGGTCATGTACGATCTACTTATTGGCATATGTTGATGATCTAATCCTTATAGGTACTGATTCGGAGACCATACAACGCTTGATTATTGCTCTTAATCGACGCTTGATTGTTGCTCTTAATAAGGAGTTTACAATCAAAGATTTGGGTCGTCTCAACTACTTTCTTGGTCTAGAGGTTACACACGATGAAACCGGTTTATTCTTAAGTCGAGCCCAATATGCCCATGATGTCCTCACATGGGCTAGGATGCTTGATGCTAAACCTGTCGCCACACCCTTATCTACTACTACTACCTCTCTCTCCAGTAAAGGTGGTCTATTTCACAACCCCAATTCATATCGTTCTATAGTTGGGGCCCTTCAATATCTCACTATTACCTGCCCAGACTTGTCTTATGTTGTTAATCAAGTAAGTCAATTCCTTCATGCTCCAACGTTTGATCACTTTTAGGCCGTAAAACGTATTCTTCAGTATGTGAAAGGCACACTTTCCTAAGGTCGCTCTTTCTGTCATTCATCCAAACCATCCTTGATTGGTTACTCAAATGCCGATTGGGCTCGTTGTCTTGAAACTTGGCGTTCTACATATGGCTATTCGTGGAGTGCCAAGAAACAACCCACGGTATCACGACCGAGTTGTGAATATGAGTATTGGGCAATGGCTAACATTGCTGCATAAATGGTATAGGTTACGCATCTTCTTCGGGAGCTTCATGTCTTGCCTCCTGATCGTCCTACCATTCTCTGTGATAATCGGAGTGCTCTTTTTCTTAGCCAAAATCCTGTCTCGCATAAACGGGCCAAGCACATTGACCTCGATTATCATTTTGTTCGTGAGCTCATCTCTTCCGGCAAGCTTTATACTCGCTATGTTCCATCCAAGATCCAACTAGCGGATATCTTTACTAAGAGTCTTCCTAAACCTCTTTTTGAGCATTTTCGACGCAACTTGGGTGTTGGTCCTCTACCGTCTCGCTTGAGGGGGGTATATATTACGGATATCTCTCAAAATTAAAGTAATATTGGGTTTCCTTGTATATAGGATATTGTTGTAACTCTTTCCTAGTTTTTCTATCGTCCTTGTATTATTTATAGGATAATGTATCATAATTCAATGTGAGGTGAATTTTAAAATATTCTACGATATGCAACACAAGAATAGGTTTTGAGCGTATAAAAAATGCAAAATAGAGAATGTAGAAAAAAGAATCAGATTTTATTAACCCTAAAGAAGTTTTAGTATATGTAGACTCACATATAGATATAATACTAGCACTAAGACTCGTTAAATTGTAGACAAATAATGCAGTGGATTTCCTATCTACCCACTAGGTACACCTTTCGGCCCATTATTTGAATGAGAATAGAGAAGGGGTTTCACATTTCTGTTAATGTTCAAGACATCTCAACAGTTCACAATAAAACATCTGAAATACGGAAATTTAACGGAAAGATTACCCTAAAACGTGCGCAGAATGCATGCTAGAGACATAATGCCATCAACCATACAAATAGATACAAGGTTCATGTAGACCATGCACAGAGATTATGCATACATTAGTTTGATATAATGATGTAGAGGATGGTGAGCAAGATCAAAGAACAGACTAGCTGCCGACAACCAAAGGCGCAAAGAGGGAAATACGCGACCCCCTATGTGACTCAAGTTGCATAATTGTATACGTTAGCTAGAACCCTGATTCGGGGATGTTGTCATATGGCAGGGGGTCAAGGGGGCCGCCCTTACTGGGATTGGGGCAGGGTCCCAGACCAATAGCGGCATGCACCAAGTGTTGCAAAATTTTTGAGTCCAAACATGGTTCAGGTTCCATTGTGATTTCTCAAAAAGCTACGTGATCTCAATTTTTGTCCAAGTCCCTTGTGATCTCTCACGACCCAAACTAGATTTTCCAACAACACAAGAGTGCACTAAAGCCAGCTAAGTTTTAAAACAACTGTCAAAAACTCAAGAATTGAAGGCGTGGAAAATAAAAGCAGTCCATATGAATATATGAAGCCTCTTCTCTCATTTAAATGCGGTCTATAATTAAATGATTTGATCTCACCCAGCAAGTGTGGGTTTAGATAGCTTTTGCCCGATCGTTCCTCTACTGGCTGCTATTCTGTTTGTGGTGGAAACCTCGACCGATCGTGATCACCAAGGAGGTTGGCTCGATCTATATTTATCTACGATTAATATGAAGAATCGCGTAGCCCTATTATCTTAAAGGTAATTGATGAATACGAAGCATTATACCATACATGCAGATGCCATATTGTTTCAGAGCATGTGAACAACAAATCATTTTGGAGAGAGTATTTCTAATAAGAGGATAAATAAAGATGTGTTCGTGGATCCTATTTGCTCGATGTGATGAGACAATACACGGAACCTACAATATCGAGAAGTTAGAATGCAGAAAAAATGATATATATATATATATATATATATACACACTTGGAATAACGTGAGACTTACATGTTTTCGTAAAATCCGTGAGACCGCACCTTTACACTTTAAATTTCACAACAAAATGCTGTGAAGGTTCGGCTTTTTTTTACCTTCATAATGTTTTGCTATGAAGTCTCAATTATAAAAAAATGGTCTTACGAAAATAGACGAGTCTCACATGAAGTCAGCAGACAAATTTCATGTCCCATGCTCTAGGAGTAACAGAAGAAGGTGAATTGGTTTGCATAGATCCTTACCTCCCAAAACACACAAGTAAAAGTATCCAAAAGAAAGCACTTATCCAACTTGATTCTTTATATGCTATCCACACCTGAAAAGCAACATTTGAATATTCTTGATATGGATAAAAAGAGGAAAGCAAGTACTTATACAACATGAGTTATTTCCGTCACTTTTTCCTGCGGATTTCCGGTGGTATTAGACGCCTCTAATTATGCATGTATTTATAGTATTGTAATTAGTGTTTATTGTATCAATTATCTCCAAAAATAGGAGATCTCTTTGTATCATTATATATTGATTAKTGTGAATGAGAAAAGRCAAGGGATTATCATACTTCTACATGGTATCAAAGCTAAAGATCTTCCTACCTATCTCTCCCATTTTTTTTCGAAAACCTCCTGCCACCTAGAAACCCTTGCCGCCGCCTCTTCTTCTTTGTCAGCCACCACCTTTGAACCTTCCTTTCAATGGCCGATCACAAGTTTCACCCTGCTGTCGCAGTTTCCAACATCCGAACCTTCATCCCTATCACCTTAGACAATGAAGCCGCCGATTATAACACATGGTCGGAACTATTTCGAATCCATTGTACGGCGTTTCTTGTGGCTGACCACCTTGAGCCTCGTCGTCCCTCACCCACTGCTGCGTCGCCCACCGATAAGGAAAAGCAATCGGCTTCCCCTCCTGCCGACTCGTGGGAACGTCTTGATGCCATAGTTCTCCAATGGATATATGGCACAATCTCCACCGGCCTTCTAAAAACTGTAATACAAAAGAGCACCACCGCATATGATGCTTGGAAAGCCATCGAGAATCTCTTCCAAGACAATAAAGCCACCCGAGCCCTCTTTCTCAAGCAAAAATTCGCAAACACTTGTCTTGAAAATTTTTCTTCCATGCATGAATATTGCCAAGAGATCAAGGTTTTGGCCGATCAATTGAATAATGTTGATGCCCCGATTGACGAACAAGATCTCGTTTTGCAAACCATAGCCGGTCTCACCGAACAATACGAGACCGTAGGCACCATACTCCAAAACACCAAACCTTTGCCCTCGTTCTTTGAGGTCCGTTCCCAGTTATGCATGAATGAAACTACAAAAGCTAACCAAGCCCTCCACTCTGTCATCGCTATTATATATTGTTTCTTGATGATTTAACGGATTTTCTATGGACTTATC